TCGCTACAAGCCTGTAGACATTCTCAGTCACGGTTGCCCCAAAGGTGCTTTTTTCAAGAGGCACCTGGACTTTTTGTTTTTTTTCATTGAAGACGTTTCTTTTCTCGTCCAAGAAGCTTCTTCAGCTCTGCCTGGATGGCGGGGAAGGGGGCTCACCGACAAATGTGGACTCGACAAAACCGCGCCCACAAAAGCGCGATTTAAGTTAAGGTAAGGGTTAGGTTCTGGGTTAGGTTTAGGGTTATTAGGTTGTTATTAGTTGTTTGTTGAAGGCACGCTTTTGTCGGCACACTTCTGCGCTCATTCGTTGGCGCTATTTCGACCTCGCGGTTTTCTCGGCGCGGTTTCGTCGGCGCGATTTTGTCGAGTGCACATTTGTCGGTGAACCCCCTTCCCCGCCATCCAGGCAGAGCTGAAGAAGCTTCTTGGACGAGAAAAGAAACGTCTTCAATGAAAAAAAACAAAAAGTCCAGGTGCCTCTTGAAAAAAGCACCTTTGGGACAGAAGCTCTGTTGCCACACGCACAAACACACAGGCTACGCACACAGGACGTTAAAGAGCTAATATGCCGTTTGTGTTAGGCACTTCTATCGCATTGTTTGTCTCTACCCTGCGGCCTAAGAGATTCGGGCACAAAAATGCAACACTAGAGAGAAGTACGCAGCTCGGCTCAAGAGGATTTACGGTTCACACCGGATCAAGGAGAAAGAGATGGAAACAATTGAGAGCTGGGGGAAAAAGCAAAGAAGAATGCCAAAGATATGAGAAGGGAAATCTCTGCCAAGGGAGGCTGGGAGGCCAAGGGAGAAGCCGTGAGGGAAATTAATAAAGGAGAATATTTGTAGCTCAGGGTGGAAATGAAGGGTCTTTGGTGCTCTCTGAGCTTGGTGGTTTTCTTGCAGATGTTGACTCAACTAGGGAACATCATGAGTAATGGAAGGGAGTGGGGGGGTTGTGGAAAGGAGGAGGGGGAGCGGGAGGAGGAGGAAAAGGAGGGGGAGGAGGAGGACGAGAAGGAGGACTGTGGGGTCCTTGGTGCTCTCTGAGCTGGGTTGTTTTCTTGCAGATGTTTCACGACCCAACTAGGTAACATCATCAGTTGTAGAAGGGAGTGGGGTTTGCAGGGAGGAGGAGGAGGAGGAGGACTGTGGGGTCCTTGGTGCTCTCTGAGCTCGGTGGTTTTCTTGCAGATGTATCATGACTCAACTAGGGAACATCATGAGTAATGGAAGGGAGTGGGGGTTTGTGGAAAGGAGGAGGGGGAGCGGGAGGAGGAGGAGGGAAAGGCAGGGAAGGAGGGGGAGAGGGAGGAGGGGTAGGAGGAGGAAGAGGAGGAGGAGGAGGAGGAGAAGGACAACGACTGTGGGGTTCTAAGTTCTAAGTCTAATCAAGCAGAGAAGCAATCTAGAACTAAGGAGAAATTTCCCGTGAGAACAATTAACCAGTGGAACAGCTTCCCACCAGAATTTGTGGATGCTCCATCACTGGAGGTTTTTAAGAAAAGACTGGACTGCCATTTGTCTGAAATGGTGCAGGGTCTCCTGCCTGAGCAGGGGGCTGGACTAGAAGACCTCCAAGGGTCCCTTCTGACTCTGTTATTCTACCCAAGAGTGAAAGTCAGGCCAAGCCAGCACTCACCTAGATTGTACTCCTGCACGCTGCTGATATAGCCGTAAAGAGGGCAATGCCCGAAGAGGACCAGCATTACCGCCGTGCCGTCCTGCAGGGTGACCATGTGGGCGGAGTGGCCCACCACGGCGTACTGCTCCTTGGCCTTCGGCGCCAGGGGGACCCAGGAATGGTTGGAGATGTGGAAGACCCAGAGCTCCGTGGTTACGTTGCCGCTTTCATCTATCTTGCCTCCGTACATGTAGATTTTGTTCTAGAAGAAACCGGTTGCAGAGAGAGGGCATTCGTCAGAGTGCGCACAGTGTGACTATATGAGACAACCCAGGATCAAATACAGTAACCAGAGGTTTGTATTTAAATAGTGATTTTATCTACAAAGAATATATACATACACATAGTACAAACAGCAATCAGCAATTACAGCAAGGAAGCACAGACGAAGATGCCAACAGGGCCTCTTCTTATTACAGGCTCTTAAAGTGATAACAGCCCAAAAACCTTGCAGACTCATTCTCAGCATTACATCATTGTAGCAGCTGGTCAGCTCTTAAATCATTACCCTGACAGTATTGATGAACAAGCTAGGATTCTACCCGGAGTTATAACAGGCATTCCTCCACTTACGACCGCAATTGAGCCCAACATTTCAGTTGCTAAGTGAGACAATTGTTAACCTTTCTTTCCACGATGGTTAAGTGAACCACTGCAGTTGTTCTATTAGTTAACCTGGTTGTTAAGTGAATCTGGCTCCCCCATTGACTTGCTCATCAGAAGGTCGCAAAAGGGGATCACGTGACCCCAGGACACTGTGATCGTCATAAATAGGAAGAAGTTGCCAAGTGCCCAAATTTTGATCCACGTGACTATGTGGATACTCTGACAGTCGTTAAGTGTGAAAAACCATCATAAGTCTCTTTTTTCAGTGTTGTAACTTTGAATGATCAGTAACTGGACTGTTGTAAGTCTCCCTTAGCGACAGGAATTTGGGGATCAATTGTGGTTGTAAGTCGAGGACTACCTGTATTTAAAAAATGCAAGAAAAAAAAGGGACCGGGACAATTTTTTCCCAGATTACTACGTTCACCCTTGATTTTACAGGTAGTCCTCGATTTACAACCACAATGGACCCCCCAGATTTCTGTCGTTAAGGGAGACATTTCTTAAATATGGATATTCCCCCATTGCGTGACTTTTCTTGACATGGTTGTTAAGTAAGATCACTGAACCTCTTAACTTAGGGACGCCGTTGTTAAGTGAATCAGGCTTCCCCCACGGACTTTGCTCGCCAAAAGGCAATTGTGGGACACTGCAGCGGTCATCAATACGAATCCGTTGCAATTCAGGCCCCTGAATTTTAATCAGGGGACCACGGCGGATGCTGCAATGGTCAAAAGTGTGAAACACAGCCACGTTTTCGGTGTCGTTGCTAACTCCGAACGGTCACTAAAGGCGCCGTTGTGACTCGAGGACTCCCTGTGCTGATTTCGTATCCGAGCCAAATGGGAGAAGTCTCACGAAGGCAAAAGGAAGGAAAGGGGAAAACTTACTTGGTGCAAGGCGATCGAATGCCCGTATCGGATTCCCACGGTGTTCACAGTGCTGCTCAGGGTCATCCATTCTCTCGACTGCAGATTATACCTGTGCGATAAAAAGCACAAAAAACATTGAGTTTGCTCAGAAGCTGAAATACACCAAGTGAATGAGAGGAAGAGTGGGACAGGAGAGAAGAAAGACAGGAAGAGAGGGATAGGAGAGAGGGTAAGGGGGGAAGAGGAGGAGGATAAGGAGGAGTGGAATGAAGAGAAAGGAGAAGGAGAAAAGAAGGGGAAGTAGAGTAGAAAAGGATGATAGATGGATGAATGGACGGAAGGGCGGACGGACAGAGGGACGGATAGATAGATAGATAGATAGATAGATA